CGATTTGAATGTTTCTATAGCGTCCTCGTTCGACTTCTAGTGGGAAAGTACCACAGCGAATTATAGCGATTGCAGATCTTTGTGTCCTTGTTAAATGCTTTTGTACGTACGGCTCGGCACAAAATTCGAATTTTTAAATGTTTATATGTCCTCAACTTTGGCATATTGTTTATTTCGTTAAACCACTTGTCTTTAAAGTCTGCTACAAGTTTACTTTTCACAGAGTCTAAGATGGATCTTGTTGAGATATCGGAGTCGTTGTCAGTTAGGTGTGAAAGATTGCATTTGTCCAGAAGCGTTTTTAAACTGTTAAACCACGTGTTTCGGCAACGTCTCGACATTTCACGATCCCAAACAAATACTTTTCGGCAAATTCTGTGACCAGGCATGTTCATAAGACGACACCATAAGCGGATAATGTTACACTGGTTGTGAATAAAAACTGAATGCCATCCCATGTCTGCTAATATTGCTGGAATTGGTGTTGTTTTGCCGACGCCAAGAAAAGTTCTGATAGCTCTATAATGTAAGCGTTCGATATTGTCATATTGCTTGGCTCCCCATACCCCGGATGCATAATCAAGTACAGGAATAACAGTGTTTTTATAAATTTTCGTGAATATGTCGTAGTCCATATTACCCATGTTAAAGAATTTAGATGTCAATGATCCTATAATTACAAACTTAGAATATTGTTTTGTAAAGTGCTCAAGGCTTAAATGATCTCTTGATTAGTTGTATTGAAGAATTAGTTGCATTGTCATTACAATGTTTGTAATTGATGCATGACTTCCTTTTTTTTGCATTTCATTTATGGATTAGGTTTAGTGGTGTAAGGACTTTCTTATAATTTGGGAAATATTTAAAAAAAAAAAAAAATGCGTTATAGACATTTATTTAGTTGACACAACAGTACAAAGAAAAAGTAGGAATTGTATATTTTTCCTGATTGTGAGTATGACTGTAAATCATGTAATATTTTAGTGAGGAATTATCCTTTTTTTATTTACAGTTTAAATCAATAAATACTTTTTAATTACAACTAATTTTATTTCACAGGCAATAATTTTATCCGGCATTTTAAATCAAATACTGTTTCATTCAGTCAGGGGAATGTTCAAATTAAATGACTTTAAAAGATTTAAATATATTCAAAACTTAAATTAAATTCCTGTTGGTTTTTTTTATATATAAAGTTATTAATATTTTCATAATAACATTAAAGGTACTTATTTTACTGCATCAGTAAACTTCAACTTATTTTGATCTATTTTGATTTTTTTTGTTTGTTTCACAATTCAACTGTGTGATAAATCCTTTCGATCTGATAAATGTGCTTCGGGGCAGTTGTAACTCAGTTATAGAAACTCTTTGTTTTGAACTGTAAATAGACCTAAATAATAGGATAATCGCTCCCTTTTCACGAATGTGACTTACCAAATTAGACTATTTACCGGATTTGTAATAACATAAGCAACACGACGGGTGCCACATGTGGAGCAGGATCTGCTTACCCTTCCGGAGCACCTGAGATCAACCCCAGTTTTTGGTGGGGTTCGTGTTGCTTAGTCTTTGGTTTTCTATGTTGTGTCATCTGTACTATTATTTGTCTGTTTGTCTTTTTATTTTTGGCCATGGCGTTGTCAGTTTGTTTTCGATCTATGAGTTTGACTGTCCCTCTGGTATCTTTCGTCCCTCTCTTACTAAGAACATTATTTACATTCATTCTTCACAATTAAGAGACATCAAATCCTACTCACTGGACGTTAAGCAACCAACAATCAATCAATCAATCAAATCCTACTATTTCATTGGTTGAGAGCACCAAAACTATAGACAAAATTATATCCAAATATGACTATTACATTTTTATTGGTGATTTTAATCATGACATGCTTAACTGTGATAAGAGTGCAATGATAAGAGAAATCTGTGATATTTTTAATTTAAAGAACATCATTAAGAAAGCTACATGTTTTACGAAAATTGCTAAAGCAACCCTTTTAGATGTGATTTTAATAAATCATGACTGTGATTTTAAAAAGATATGTAATTTTGGCACTGGAATTAGTGATGTGCACAACTTTATATCTGTGCAGCTAAATAGTGATTTACCAAAAATTTTACCAAAAAAGAAGATATGCAGACGTTTTAAGAATTTTAATGCTTCAAATTTTTTAAATGATTTAGAAAATCAGCATTTTGATATATCTGAATTTGATAATGTAAATACAGCATATGATAATTTTAGTAAAAGTTTCATTGAGGTTGCTGACAAACATGCACCTTTAAAGGAAAGAAAAATATTTCCAAATCAGGTACCATATATACGAATGCAGAGCTTAAAAGTGCCATTTATAAGAAAAAAATGTTGTATAATAAATTAAAAAAATTCAGTGGTAGTAAGAACTGGGAAGCATATAGGCGTCAACGCAACTATGTTACAAAACTAAAAAATAAATCCATTAACCAATATTTTGTAGAGAGGTGTGCTGGAGGCCCGAAATCGAAAGATTTCTGGCCAACAGTGAAACCTTTTCTTACAAATAAAGGAAACGTACACCAAAAGGAAACTGTCCTCTCTGAAAATAATGTTTTAATTACAAAACAGGAGGTAGTGTGTGAGATATTTAACAACTATTTTGTAAATGTTGCAAAGAATATAGGAAGCAGTCAAAGAAAGGTTGATGATGATCACTCGAGTATTTTGGCCATTAAAGATAACCTTCCAGATCTTGATTAAAACAGTTTTACCTTTTTCCCTATTGATCAAGACTTTGTTGAGAAACGTATACGTAAAATTAATGTTAAAAAAGCCACTGGTATAGATGGTATCTCACCTAAATTACTGCATTTTGCTAAACCTGCTATTGTAAAACCCCTTACAGATATTGTTAATTTATCATTATCATCATCAACCTTCCCTGGCCGTCTTAATGAAGCTCAAGTTGCACCTATTTACAAAAAGAATAGTGTACTAGAAAAAGGAAATTATAGACCGGTAAGTGTATTACCGGCTATTTCTAAAATTTTTGAAAACGCCATAGAAGTACAATTAGTACAATACTTTGATAAAATCTTCAACCCATTTTTGGCAGCTTTTAGATCAAGTTTTGGTTGTCAGTCAACTTTATAAAGAGTTATTGAAGTTTGGAAATTAGCCTTAGACCAAAATAAATACCCTGCAGCTATCCTTATGGACTTGTCAAAAGCATTTGACTGTCTCCCCCATGACTTACTGCTACTGAAACTAAAAGCTTATGGTCTCTCCAAATCCTCACTTGATATGTTATATAGTTATTTAACAAAAAGAAAACAGTGTGTGAAAGTAAACCAAAATTTAAGTGGTATGCTTGACATATTTAAAGGGGTACCACAAGGTTCCATCCTTGGACCCATCCTATTTATTACTTTTATAAATGATTTGTTTTTTTTTTGTAAAAAATTGTTCTTTATATTATTATGCTGATGACAATACTTTGTCAAAGTCTGGAAATTCCTTACAAGATGTAATTTCTGCTCTTGAGGAAGACAGCAATTATTTAATACAGTGGTTTTCTTCAAATAAAATGCAGGCCAACCCAGAGAAATTTCAAGCTATCTCTCTTGGCAAAAAAACACATGATAAAAAGATTGTGTTTGATTTGAATGGTATTTCTATATCATGTGAGGATGAGGTTAAACTGCTTGGAGTTACAATTGATCTTAAATTAAACTTCAATTTACATATTTCAAATATTTGTAAAAAGGCTGCAAGGCAATTAAATGTTTTGAAAAGAATTGGGAAACACCTAAACAAACTGAGTAAACTTACAATTCATTACTCTTTTATTATGGCAAACTTTAGTTACTGCCCTTTGACTTGGCATTTCTGTGGGGAACAAAATACCAGAAAAATAGAAAAAAAATACAAGAACGAGCGATTCGCTTTATTTATGAAGATCATCAGAGTTCATACGAAACACTCCTGCAGATTTCAAACCTTCCATCACTAAAAACTCGTAGAATGCGATTAATTGCCTTGGAGACCTTTAAAATAATTAATAAAAAATGTCCTTTATTTATTCAAGATCTAGTTGTAATAAAAAACAATTCATATAATTTCAGGTATGTGAACACTGCTGAGGTACCTAGACCTAGAACCTCAAGTTATGGTAAAAGATCCTTTAGATTTGAGGCAGCACAAGTATGGAACTCCCTTTCCAATGAGGCTAGAATCATGACCTCCTATGACCAGTTTAGGAATTATATAAATTCCTGGTGTGGGGGTCAAAAATGCAACTGCAGTTCATGCCGTTTCCATCCAGTGCTGTCTCAAAGCTGAAATTTCTTTCTTTCTTTTTATAATGGCCTTTTGCTCTGCTTTTTATGCATTTATTAAATATATCTGCTATTAAATGCTAGTGCTTAATAATTTATTTATTTATTGTTTTTATGCTTTTTAGTTTATTATTTTATGATATTCAAGTGATTTGCTGATTCCCCCGTTCAGTGCACATAGAGGCGCTTGCCACATGAGCTTTGACTCTGGAGGCTCATAAATCAAAATTAATTTGCTTTCATTAAATTTGCATGCTTTTTCATTTTTATTTATTAGTATTTGCATGATGCTTCATGATTTTTTATGTGATAGTCGGTTAAAGAGTTCACCAGAGCTCATGTTTTGTCTGTTATTATGTATATATATGCCGACTCTAAATAAAATTTACTTACTTTCTTACTTTGCTATATTCTAAATATTTATACATTCCTGCGTGTGTTAATTATTAATTGGTAAGTTATATTACCACTTAGTCTTTATGTTTGATAAAATATCTTGTTGTGTTTCATTTTGTATGTAAATGGTTTTTCTTTCAAATTAATCTCGAAACCCTCCAGTCTGAGTCCTCATGAAAATAGAAAGAAGAACAAAAGAAAAAATTAAAATTAGAAATAAATAAATATTGAAATTGAAAAATTACGTTATTGATATTTGTTTTATAAAATAAACCTAACATTCATTCTAACTGCTAATTATTTTATTCAACATTTCATATTAACATTTATAAGATTGATATCAAATTTGGCAGCTTTGTCTCGGTTGACAATGTTTTCTCGAGGTTTTTCTCAATCTGCTCTATCATCATCTCAGCTAGGAGTCATTTAAAAAACTGTACATCGTGTGCTTTGTTTATTTTCTAGTTTGTCATATTTGGAAATATCACAAAGATGAAGAGGAATGCGCGTCTGTGTCGAGGTCCTCCAAAGCAAACCGGAAATCCGACATTGATTTTACATCCTTTAAATCCAATTGATCCCTGATTGTTTGGTAGAATGTACTTGGACACTGAAAGAAAACAATACAATATTTTTTTCCCACAAAAACTATGTCTCCTTTAATCGAAATTTCAAAAGACAAAAAGCCATAATCACACCAAGTTGTCTATCAGAATTGCACACAATTTCAACTGTGCTTAAGACAATTTGACAAGCTTTAAAACAGTTCAATACAAACTTGAGGTGATTTTGTGTTGAAAAATAATACCATGTGTAGAAAAATGCAAAGTCTGTCTTTTACTTTGGGAAAATCCAAGAATTATTACAATATAAAAAAACGCAAAGTATAAGTCCTTCTTAATATAACCGATTGATATCATGTTCATATTTACATATGGTGTGCAGTTATTATCTCTATTCTTATACGAACGGTTTGTGATTTTGTTGTTGACAATCTATCTTGTATCAAGGTAAAAACAAGGGTTTCATCAGTCCCGTTGGAGCCCGGGCCCGGAGTTCAGCGCCATATCCTTTTATTATTGGAGCCCGGAAACCTTTCAGTAAAGCCGGAAGCCTAAAATATTGTGCAAAGGAGCTCGGAGCCCATTATATGGAGCCTGGACTAACTTTTAAATTAAGATGGACCTCGGAGCAAAGAACCAATGTTAACCCTTACTGTATGTAGATATGATAGAATCCATATTCCGTTATATGAAGTACATCCTAAAACAATATAATTAAGATATACACGTGATGTGAAGTAATAGTGTTTTATTTAACGATCTACCTGTATGTAAGGTCTCAGATACTATAATCAACAAACTTCCTGATTTAGCCCCCCCCCCCCCTCCAAAAATAAAACTCCCAACAGAAAAATTAATATAAAGGTGCGTAACTCAATATGACGTGAAGTTATTCCTGCAAGTTTTTTCATTCCTTTTGGTTTATAGTTCAAATCCCTACATAATCTTGACAAAACTTCAACACGGGCAAATGTTTACATCTCACTGCATGTTTAAGATGACCCTTTGTATCGATTTGAGAGACATTCTTTAATTTAAGCACACAAATGCGGGGTAATATCGTCAACTACATTAAACACGAAACTTTGAGATGACAATCCTCCCCATATGTAGTAATAATGAAGCCCATGTTGCAAAACTAAACTTGATAATAAGTAGTTCTGTAAAGTTTCGTTCCATTCCTATACTGTAGGACAGATAGTAGACGGACATTGCCAACATTTCTTTGTGTGAAATTATTCACCATTCATTCGTTTTGAGGAAGTTTCCCGTGTTACATTCCAAACTAACTTTTGCTTGATTTCGGAGAATAAACTTTCTTTGTGTCAGACAAAAAATACAAATAAAACGGTTCAAAATCATTTAGTTTTTTTTTCAATCCTCTGGTATCTTCCCTTCTCTCTCGGTCACTTTTCTAATTAGAAAGAATCATGTCCTGTATCATTCAACAAAATTTCATAACTAAAATCACGATTTAATCACAAAAAGACCAATTTATCAGTATCTTTTTTTCAAGCTTTTAAAAATTTGATATTTTAGGTCGGGATTAATTGTTGATGTTTACCGTTTACTAGCATTAACTAATGAAAACAACTAACCTCCTGTACAAGGAGCCGGAGAAATGCGACGTCTTTTCCTCTTAAACGCCCCAGCAATTTTCTGAAATAAAATTTATTATACATTTATATATTCGCCAAAATATTTATCGAGAAAAAAATGGGTTTCCTCTTTATTCAGTTAACAACCTCGATGGTTTCATGGTATCGTGCTCGTCTCGAGTGAGGGAGGTCGTATGCTCATTCCACGCCTGCCTCGAACCAAAGTAGGATCGGAGTCCGAATACGTTTTTTGTGAACTGGTACCTTTCAAAACTACCACGATAAAAATAAAGTTAAACATGTTGGTCTATTACAAACAAAGGAACGTTAAAATTGTTATCAATTTCAACATGAATCCATTCCTTCTCATCCGCATTCTCTTATATTTGTGTTTTTTAGTTTTTTTTTAAAGGGAGGAAAAAATTTTTAGTAACAAGAAAATGCCAAAAAACACCAGTTATATAAAAATAAGGAGATGTGCCGTTTGCAATTGATTGCCAAGGAGACCACTATATCCACCACAATACAAAGGACAAAGATGTAAACAATTATAGGGCACTGTAAGACCTTCAACAATAAACAAAACCCATACCGTATAGTAAGTTATAAAAGGCCCCGGTATGAAACAAGAGTGCACACACTGAAATGTCTCGCCTTCTTTACTAACCATTGATTTTATGTTGATAGTCCTTAATATAAAGCTTTACTACAAGTAACACATAAACTTAACATGATCCAAGAAAATGAGGTCAAGGTCAGATAAACCAAACGAGAAATACATGTACACCTTACAATCATTCAATAAACCAAACATACTTGACCTATTGCTTATAGTTTCTAAGAAACAGTCTTAACCAAGAAAACTAAATATTGACCAATGAACCATGAAAATGAGGTCAAGGTCAGATGATACCTGCCAGACAGACATATACACCTTACAATCCTTCCATACAACAAATATAGTTGATCTATTGCTTATAGTTGAAGAAAAACAGATCACAACACAAAAACTAAACACTGAGAAATGAACCGTGGAAATGAGGTCAAGGTCAAATAAAACCTGCGAGACTGACATGTACATCATAAAATATTTCCAAACACCAAATATAGTTGACCTATTGCATATAGTATTAGAAAAAAAGACCAAAATTCAAATACTTAACTTTGACCACTGAACCATGAAAATGAGGTCAAGGTCAGACGACACCTACCAGTTGGACATGTACACCTTACAATCATTCCATATTCCAAATATAGTAGCCCTACTGCTTATAGTATCTGATATATGGACTTGACCATGAAAACTTAACCTTGTTCACTGATCCATGAAATGAGGTCCTAGACAAATGAAAATTGTCTGACGGGCATGAGGACCTTGCAAGGTACGCACATACTAAATATAGTTGACCTATTGCATATAGTATTAGAAAAAAAGACCAAAACTCAAAAACTTAACTTTGACCACTGAACCATGAAAATGAGGTCAAGGTCAGATGACACCTACCAGTTGGACATGAACACCTTTCAATCATTCCATATACCAAATATAGTAGACCTACTGCTTATAGTATCTGATATATGGACTTGACCACGAAAACTTAACCTTGTTCACTGATCCATGCATTGAGGTCGAGGTCAAATGAAAATTGTCTGACGGGCATGAGGACCTTGCAAGGTACGCACATACTAAATATAATTATCCTATTACTCATAATAAGAAAGAAATTAACATTACAAAAAATGTTGACTTTTTTTTTCAAGTAGTCACTGAACCATGAAAATGAGGTCAAGGACAATGGACATAATTATGACAGACGGAAACTTCGTAACATAAGGCATCTATATACAAAGTATGAAGCATCCAGGTCTTCTAGCTTCTAAAATATAAAGCTTTTAAGAAGTTAGCTAACGCCGCCGCCGTAGCCACCGCCGCCGCCGGATCACTATCCCTATGTCGAGCTTTCTGCGACAAAAGTCGCAGGCTCGACAAAAATTAGAAACAATTCAAATGAGAAAACAAATGGTCCGATGTATGTCTCCATTAACTATTTTAAACAGAAATGAAAGAAATAAAGAGATAGGACCGATTCAAGTTCCCGAGATTTTTTCACTCACATTGTCAAAATTCGAAAGTTGTTATAAACGTCCGAGAATTTGCATATCAAAAAAACGGCCAACATGAATTAACATGTACCGAAAGCTTTACTTCAAATGGAGTTTTTGTTTTTAGAATGTCTGACAATTTGTTGTCATTTTTACATCGAATGTGACCCTGAGAGGTCATACCAGTGTTATGTTGCCGCAGAAATTTCCTTGCCGTTTGACTGATAACCGAACGTATTTCGTATAATTACGCGGATATTATCGAGTGTAAAATAACATTCTTTATCGCTTGTTATATATTAATTCCATCAATAAATATTCATGAAAATAATTTTTAAGAACATAGATAAATGTATGAAAATGTTTTGTCGTGATTAATATATATATATCAATAACAAATCATGGATACCGAAAATTTGTGTTAACGCATGCGGAAGAATATCTCGAGAATGTTTTGCAACAAAAGCGGGAAAATATGAATGCCTACTCAAATCCAATCTATTAGAAAAACGATTTATTACAGAAGAGTGTCCACCATGCTCTTGCACTGCACTATCATTAGAATAGTAGAATAGAATGATATATAAATGGATGAAAATTTGCCTGTAGAGTTATTAAGATGATCTGTTATATATATAACTGGTATACAAATATTAATATAATATATTACAACAAAGCAGAGTATACTGATAACAAATGATTATATCACTACAATATAATATTATTACGGTGAGGTTGAATTCCCTGTCATTTATTCATCATCCACACAGGAACTTGTCTCAGAAAAAAATATATCTATGTACCTTAACCTAACTTTCAGGTATAGAGATGTGATTTTTTTTCTGAGACAAGTGCTTGTGACCATCCACCAGAACTTGCGGTAATCCGATGTTCAGTACTTCAGTACTTTGATGAAATATGTTGTGTATTTGACAATGAGACAGCAACCCAAGTGAACGACACAATACCCAAAGGCATTTGGAGGTCAACAAAGTCTTCAACAATAGACATTTCTATACAATATACCTAACTTCTCAAGATCATGCAATCTTTGATATATTACTTCGAAAACCATTGAATAATCCTTACTTTATTATATAATTATAGCATATTGATCCAAGATATTTTAAATATTTGAGAAAAAACGTTTTTCATAAGTGTAAAGCTCAGAATGAGCGAAGACACTTAGCAAAAAAAAAACGACATACTTCGGCAGACTATTATTATCTAGCCATTTTTCTACTTGGGAAGGTGTCCATTTCCTCACTGTGTTAATTACAGTAGTCTTTCCTTCCTTTGGTTGTGCACCCGACATCACTGGTATCTCTGCTTGCAATATTGGCTGTAACAATAGAAATAATACTTCATAGACCTTTTTGTATAAAGTTCTAAAATGTACTTTATTACATACAGTTCAAATACATATGATAAGACTTATATGCGTTCATACATACAGCTATGGAGATTTGAACACCTATAAGTATAATTATCTGAAAACTATGAGACTAAATTAGAGCAATCTCAAATCTATGATAAGAAAAATATTTATTGTTCCAATTAAGGGCTCTTGGTGGGCAGCAGGACATTTATGCACACAAAACAGCACACTTTGATTTTTTTACATTTAAATGAAATATTAAATGTTCATATTATTATAAACCTACATATTTTCATCTTATATAAACAATGCACATTTTATTCCAGGCAGGACCAGAATCATAAAATCGTTTCAACAATCATCTTTATTAATTATACATTATACTTGTACATATATAAGATGTGGTATGAGTGCCAATGAGACAACTCTCCATCCAAGTCACAATGTATAAAAAAGTTAACAATTATACGGTAAAGTACGGCCTTCAACACTGAGCCTTGGTTCACACCGTACAGCAAGCTATAAAGGGCCCCACCATGACTAGTATAAAACCATTCAAACAGGAAAACCAACGGTCTAATCTATAAAAAAAACGAGAAACGAGAAACACTTATGAACCACACCAACAAACGACAACCACTGAACAACAGGCTCCTGACTAAGTTATATTAATTCATGTTTCGTCTAACATCTAAACATTTGATAATATAATTCCCTAAATACTTTAGGACAGACACATTTTCATCAGTAAATAACCAAACAAATTTTGCCTCATTTATGAGATCTGAAAAGTTATGACAAATATTGTTTATCTCTTTAAAAAATACCGCCTTTTATGATAAGAAACATACATCAAATTTTGTCAAAAGAACTCGATGAAAGAACCTTGATATTTCCAACTTAGTACCCTCGTTTTTTTTTTTTTTAGGATTTCGTGTTCTATGTTTTGTCACTGTTATTTTAATTAAATTATACGTTCGTCTTTTTCTGTTGTTTTTTATCGGACGTCATATGGTTGTTGGTTTCCCTAAATGTTTCACTCTTTCTAAAAAAACAATTTGATCGAGCTCACAGATTTACACCAGATTGCCGTTTTTGGTAAATGGCTCATTTTTTATATTAAAAACATGGGTATTATGTGAAATTACTCTGTGAATGAACGTTTCATTAAAATCTAGTCACTGCTTCATGAGGGATGGTAGTATATGGTATGCCTATCACTTTTGAATATAAGTCAATATCCATGCATTTTGTTTCAAAGTACATACCGCATAGCAAGCTATAAAAGGCCACGACATGACAAAAGGAAAAACAATTCAAACGAGAAAAGAAACGGCCTGATTGGTGTACAACACACCTAAAATAACAAACCAAAAGAGTCACAGAGTATCGATTTGAGAGTAATTGCAGTTGCTAAAACCTAGTTCAAAGCCAATAAGAACTAATAAAAAAATTCGTAAGGGTTCCGCGGAACCCAGTGTCTCGCCTACTTTTGCTGTTAATCGCAGGCTCAACAAAAATGAGGAAAAAAAATCAATAAAAATACTCCTTTAGATACTATCTTTTGATTGTAAGAAGCTTCTGTCAAAGTTTGGTATAAATCCAGGATAGTTTATGAATCTAATAAATGTTTTAAAAACTTTAACTGCAGACTGTATTTAATGTTAACTGGAAGAAAAACTAAGTCCATTTATAAGTAAAATACGGATAAACAGGTACAAATTTTAACAAAATTTCCTTCTAGATACTAGCTTTTGATCATAAACAAGCTTGTGTCCAAATTTGATACAAATCCAGGATAATTTAAGAAAGTTATTAAAATTTTAAAAACTTTAACCAGAGTGAAAATATTGTTTCCTGGCAGAAAAACTAAGTCCATTTATAAGTAAAATACGGAAAAAATGAAATTTTTTTTTTAACAAATTTACTTCTGGATACTATCTAATGATCATAAACAAGCTTCTGTCCAAGTTTGGTACAAATCCAGGATAGTTTAAGAAAGTTATTAAAATTTTAAAAACTTTAACCACAGAGTGAATGTATTGTTTACTGGCAGAAAAACTAAGTCCATTTATAAGTAAAATACGGAAAAAATGAAATATTTTTTTTAACAAATTTACTTCTGGATACTATCTTATGATCATAAACAAGCTTCTGTCCAAGTTTGGTAGAAATCCAGGATAGTTTAAGAAAGTTATTAAAATTTCAAAAACTTTAACCACAGAGTGAATATTTGTGGACGCCGCCGACGACAACGACGACGACGACGACGCCGACGCCGACGGAATGTAGGATCGCTATGTCTCGCTTTTTCGACTAAAGTCGAAGGCTCGAAAAAAATCATGTATCTAAGACAAAGTATCAGAATACGCATGAAATGTTTGTCAACAAAAGTTCTTACAAACCCTCAGGTATACAGTTATCTGTTATGTATTTACCTCCTGGTGTGATTTAACAACATGATCTGGTACCTCTACCAGTACTTTTGTACTTCTGTTCAATGCCTCCAGTATTTCTCGGATCAATTCGTTTGTTTTTTTCTCGAATGGATATTTTCCACTGAAGTCATAAAACAGTTTGGCACCAATAATTAACCCTAGCCAACCATCAGCCTTGTAATTCATTTCCATTTTTAATGGTATTATCTTTTTCTTCAATTGAAATGCGTATTCTGCCTCTGTAAATATGACAATTCAATCTGATTTAAAATTAAAATACATGAAAAGGACATTATCATTGTGTCGGCATAATTTAAACTGCCATATTTTTTTTAACGGATCATTTATAAACAATTATTTCCTCTAAATGTTAAATGGGTCTAAAAATGGATGAACATAGCATATATTGTCTCAAATGGCCGACGTTGTCACTAAAGTAAATCAAAATAAGCCGATTGATTGAAGAAATTAGGTCATATAACCTTGTTATTAGGAATAGATGTGATTAAATTCTCTATCAAATTTTGTCTTGTTCGATATGATTTATTTTTGTGTGTACGTAAATATACATTTAGATTTAATAAACAATATAAACAACACAAACCAGCTCTACAGTTATCGCTGTTCTTATATTTAAATGAATAGCAAACAAGTACGATATCCGCCTGCTCAACAGCTTTAGCCATAGCCTGCAGTGTTGACCCTTGCATATCATCTACGTCCATCCATACTTTGATACCACTGTTCCTTAAACTATCACGTATCTGTTTTACCATTGGTTGGTGTCCCCAGTTGTAACTGATCATAATGTGTCTGTTGGCATTTCCTATTGGTTTGCCGTCTTGCAAACCACCAATTCGAGTTTGCACTAGAGAAGATAAATTGAAAAAATTAAGAAATGCTAATTTTGTTTTTATAATCATCGTGATCCATATAAATCATTTACTTAAGCACATGATTTTTTATACCATTCAAAATTTTAAATTCAAATATATGTATGATACATCTAAAAATACTCTTGGTTTATGAGTAAAATAAATCACAAATACATACATGAATTATTGTGTCAACTGTTATTAATTTACAACATAATTATATGATATTTACAGCTTTTTTGGTGGTCTGTTATCGTCCATAAAGCTTTATTGCTAATTCTTTTTACTGTTTGGTCTGACGATTGGGACATTTTTTCTAATGTCTCTATCACCTTCCATTTTTCCGTCTCTATCATCTCTGTTCTGTTTTTTTCATCAAATGATAACGTCCAGATAGCACGTACAGCCTCTGTAGATAAACGTCTATAAAGTTACAATCTATGACATCATGATGTTCTTTATTACTCGGAAACATAAATTAAAATTATAATACTATTGAAAAATTAAATGCAATACAATATGATATGAATGTAAATCAATTGTTGCATTCAAACTTAACTTAGTACATGGCTTATCTGAACATATATTCATTTACTGGAAGAACCAATAATTTAGAGTAAGAACGAATTATTGTTTGTAGCCTACGTCAGTTTTTAGAGTTTATTAAAAAATAAATTGAACAGTATATAATTTACCACGTTGTTCCTCGATGTTGCCACTGTCACTGATTTTCACAAGAAGAGGAACAGCACCATGTTGTACAACTGTTCTCTTATTGTTGTCATTTCTTGCCACTTGATGAACAACTGAAATAAAAAGAAACGCAAGCAAGCTTTAATGCAAAATACTATCTTTGAATGAGTTTTTTTTTTTATTTAAAGATAAAACAAATTACAAGTTAGAAAATATAATATCATGGTAATATTTTTCTTTTACGAAACACGAAAACGTTTCATTGTCAATAATTAGAAAAACAAGAGGTTTCCAAGAGCTTGAATCGCTCACCTGGTTAGAAATATGCAATTTTGATATTTTTCCCTTTTATTGCAATCAGTCATGTTTGCTCATTAGTAGGTATTATTAAGTGACATTTTGTAAGTCTTGTATTGATGGTCATTTAAGTTTATCTATTAAAGTTTTTGAGATAAAAAAAACGTCATTTAATGGCAATAAATCCTACAACTAGTGTGACAATTTGGCCATGTTGACTTACTTGTAAATCTTCTTTTGCTTTTTAAAGTTTCTCTATAACTCCTATAGTTTTTTACAAAAATGCAAAAAGGGTAAAAAACATCATTCAGGGAAAATAATTTGTAAAAGGAGTCTGTATGTTGACAATTTCGGCCATAACGTCTGATTTGATTTGTAGATCTTATTGTGACCATTTTTACTGTTTCTCTCCGTCTATTATAGTGTGTGCAAAATGGAAAACAATATCGTATATCAATTAATGGCAATAACTCCACTCAGGGGTCAATTCACGATTTCAACTATGAATACTTAATTGTAGATCTTATTTTGCTGAACATTTTTGCTGTATGTTGTTGCTATGCACAATGTATCAATCTTTGTTTCTGCAATAAATCATAAAACGGATAAAAATATTCAATGAGAGGCAACATTTCATAAAAGGATTCAGTTGACAATTTTGCCCATGTTGACTTATTTGTAGATCTTATTGTGCTTAATATCTTTGCTATTTACAATATCTCTCTACGATGGTTTCTGCAAAAAATAGTGAAAGACCATCTTGCAAGGGAAAAAATTCCTTTAAGCGATCAGTTGACAATTTCGGCCAAACTGACCTATTTGTAGATCTTGTTTTGCTGAACAGATTTCTTCCGATATATTATAGTTTCTTTCAAGGGCAATAACTCCTGTATCACTATGCTTTACTTAGTTTAAACATATTTTATTTGCTAAATATCAGCAAAATGGATGAGACACAAGTAAATCATACTTATGAAGTCTTCTCCATATTAAAATACAAGTATATATACAATAATAACATTATGAGCATGCATGTAAAGCTAACAAATTCATTAAATATTATACGAACTATAAATAAAAAGAAAAAAAGAACAAGAAGAATGGAAAAGGAGGAAAAGAAAAAGAAGCAAATTATATTTTCTGTGATGTTGACTTAGGTTTGATGGTGATGATCATCCGTGCCGGTAGCAATAATATTTTATGAAGGTACTAGAAATCTGTTAGACCTTTTAATGAAATCTTGAACATGTTTGAAAATTAGGAGATTTTGTTCATTTGAAAGTTCAAGATCTCCGCAAGTTAATAATTTAGTATCAATAATAAAGTTTTCAGTAAGCCAATTAAGATTGTTAAGTAAAATTTCTCTACACGTAGTGTATTTTGGGCAAACTAAAAGAAAATGATGAACATCCTCAATATCAGACCCACACTGACACGAAGGATCCAGTATAATGTAAGCATTGAAAAGGTCAGAGTTCAAAAATGAAGCGGAACATCGCAATTGAGTTAAAATAATATTCAGTTTTCTCTGACCGTACATATAATACGGCGCAACTCTACTCTGAACACTTTCATTTTTCAATTCTCTCTTAAATTTAGCTATAGAGTCGGTGTTTCGAATTTTTAAGTCAAGCTTATTCCATTCTCGTATTGTGGATGGAATAAAAGATTCGGTGGTAAGGGAAAGTCTACAAAATGGAACAATGATATTTTGACCGTTTCGCAACGGATAGTTGGTTGTACTTTGTATACATGGGGGGACAAGATTACACGGGTACTGAGGTGCATGTTTTTTATTTATATTATAAAACATCTGTAATTTTCTTCTTCTTCGTCTTTCATATAAAGATTCCCAGCCAACCTCAGAGTACAGAGTATCAGTTTAGTGAAGATTGGTAGACCTGTTACAATTCTTGCGGCTTCCAATTGCAAATTTTCTAATTTATTTGAATAACATATCCCACAATTATCCCACACTTCCGTGGCATATTCAAAAATGGGTCTAATAAAAACTAGATAAAGTTTTTCTAAATCATTACGAGACAGTCGATATTTAAGTTTACGCAGAACATTAAGGTGTTTCTTTACACTTGTAATTATACTTTCAATATGATTGTTCCATTTTGCGTCACAACTAAAGGTAACTCCCAGGTGCTTATGCGATGTATTTATAGGGATAGTTTTATCATTTAGGGAAAAGTTGAGATCTGGTATCTCAATATTTGAAAATATCATAATTTCTGTTTTATCAGGATTAAATGACATAAGCCATTTAGTTGACCAAACGTCCAGCTCTTTCAGGTCGCGGTCGATCACAGATTTAATCTGTGCACCATCGCTACCGGAATAACTGAATGAAGTGTCGTCTGCAAATAGCCTACACAGCGATGTAAGCTTATCAGCAATATCATTAATATATAAAACAAAGAGAAGAGGGCCCAAAACAGATCCCTGGGGTACACCTGCTGACACATTACAAAAAGAGGAGGACGAATTATTCAGTACTACTCTTTGTTTCCTGTCATGCAGATAATCTTCAAACCACTGTAATAAGGTTCCATCAATACCATAGGCTTTCAGTTTGTGAATAAGACCTCTATGCCAAACTTTGTCAAACGCTTTAGAGAAATCACAGAATACAAAACAGTTTATTTCTTTTTTTTCCAAAGAGTTTAAGATGCAGTTGTATATTTCTAAAAGTTGATGGACAGTTGAATTTTGGGGAAGAAATCCGGATTGATATTCATAAATTAATTTGTTAGCGTGTAGATGATTATACAAGTGCTTAAAAACAACTCTTTCCATTACTTTTCCAACACAACTAATAAGAGAAATTGGTCTGTAATTTGAAGGCAAGGATGAATCCGACTTTTTGAAAATAGGTATTAAATTAGCTATCTTCCAACTGGTTGGATATTTGCCTTCTCTTAAAGATTTATTGAATATAATTTTTAGCGGAACTGCAACCTTTTCCGGACATAACTTAAGCATTTTATGGCTGATCACATCTGGGCCTGATGCCTTGTTTGGATCTAATATCTGGATAATATCTATGATTTCTTGTGTATTAATTTGGATTTCCGAAAATTTACTATCAGTTTTTGTTTTAAATTCGGGTAAATTTACATGTTCTTCATCAAGTTTTGAAATCATACTAAAATATTTGTTTAATAAGCTGCATTTTTCCTCATCTTCATATACGACATCGTTTAGTCCATTATCATTTATAATATTTTGGAGAGGGGGTATGTTGTCCGAATTTTTATTTGATTTAATCAACATTTTCATAAGTTTCCAATACGTTTTTGAGTTCGGGGAGTTTTCTAGTTTAATACTGTCCAAATTTGTTTCAAACTTTTCTTTGGCTATTTTTTTCATATTATTTACTTTATTTCTCTGTTGCTTGTACCTCAAAATGTCATTTTCAGTCTTGGATTTAACTGCTTTTTTTCTTTATCGGTCTCGAATTCGAATTTCTCGTCTTATGTCGTTATTGAACCAGTGTTTGTCGTTATGTCTTACAGTTATTAGTTTAGTAGGGATACACTCTTTGGTTATTTTCAAAAATTCTATTTTAAATATTTCACACAACTCGTTGGTGTTTTTAGTGTCTGGAAGCACTGTGTTCCAGTCTATTTCATCTAATTTCTCCGCAAATTTTGATTTATCAGCCCTATCATAGAGCCATATTTCTCTTTTAAAAGATTTAAAATCGGACATTGGACATTCGAGAAATGCAATAGGTGCATCATGATCACTAATATCGGATGGGGTTTTTAGAACACTAGAAAAGGAACATGTCATATGCTTTACTATACTGACTGTATTATTAACTACAAACACTTTTTTGTTGGTGTCTTTGTTTTATTTAACTGTATGTGTGTTTGAACGTTTAATTCATTTGTGTTGTATGTCTGTGCTGTATGTTTACACAGTTTTGGCTGCTGGATCTCAGTTATAGCCACGTTAACCTATTATGTCTGTTTGGGTTGCTCACTTAATTTGGCAATATTAAGGAACATTGAACAACTGTTATGCAAATGGGCGTTTAACCCACCATTTTCTTATGAAAATGTCTGCACGAAGTCAGGAATATGACAGTTGTTTTCCTGCGTTTTTTAGTAAACAATGTTTTTTTCCAATTTTTACAAAAATCAAAAATGATTTTAGTTGTATATATAGATATGACTGTGCATAAAATTTATGGAAATCAACTCTTCATACGACATTTAACTTATGCAGGACAGACGGACTAACATTGTTATAGGGCAACTAGTCCGTGTCGTAATAGAAAAAAACAGATCCACTGAACTTTCCTAGCTCTATTTACAAACAAAACTAAAGCGGAATAAGTCATGGAAATTCAATCTTTTGGTATACCAATTATAAATATAAATTATCATGTGTTTAAAGAATGATTTGATCGTTTTCGTGGATTTTTACAATACCAAAATAAGCGACAACAGATATGTCACGATCCTTTTCATGATCATCAAATAGCGGTACTCGATCTTTCACGACCAAAAATATCAAATTTTTCATTTTTTGCAAAGTTTCTGATTAAACTAAAACAAATTAACTTTAAGAACCATTTTAAACAGTAATATGGAACGATATTTTAAAAAAAAGTACCGGGTAGTTTATGCATTCAAAATATGAAAAAAAAAATCATGTTTGTTTACATTTTTATTTCTTTGAAATTTCGATGAGCAATCTGCCTTTCGTAGTTTTGTAAAAAACGGTGTACTTTTAAACCTTGATTTTTCTCAGATACTGATCATTATGTTGAACCATTTTGACAGACAGTTTTATTTTACAAATATTTGTCAATATAATGTATTAAATTAGATTATTTACTGACGTTGCATGTTTCTCCTCGATAAGATTTTATTCACGATCCTATAGCAGATCTTTCACGATCCAATCGCAAAACTTGACTTCGTTCACGATCATTTTTCTCGATATACCGAATGACAGCTGTGACATTATACAAGGGAAGATTTTCTCTGACTGCAGTAGATTACGTTACAAGGAAAGATGTTCTTTGATTGTAGTTAATTACATTGCAAGGAAAGATTTTTCTCTGATTGCAGTAGATTACATTACAAGAGAAGATTTTCTATGATTGCGGTGAATTACATTTCTTGGCACGATTTTCTCTGATTGCTGTTGAATAAAATGCAAATAAAGCTTTATTTCTGAGACAATTCTTAACAAACGGAAAGTCAAGTAGACTTTGGCCGAGTTAGAACTTGAAATATGTATTGTTTATGTTAATCTCTAAATGTCTTTTACCTTTAGTGTCGTTGGGTTTCTGTTACATCGATGTATACCACACACCCCTTTTCATAAAAATGTTCAGGTAGTAACTAAGTTTGAACACGACGGGTGCCACATGTGGAGCAGGATATGCTTACCCTTCCGGAGCACCTGACATCACCCCCAGTTTTTGGTGGGGTTCGTGTTGCTCAGTCTTTAGTTTTCTATGTTGTGTTTTGTGTACTATTGTTTGTCTGTTGGTCTTTTTCTTTTTTAGCCATGGCGTTATCTGTTTATTTTCGACTTATGAGTTTGAATGTCCCTTTGGTATCTTTCGCCTATCGTTTGAAAGAATTCAAATAATTTGTCAACTTATTTCTAGATGTTTCTTGATCAGTTTTACATTTGAAAAAGACATAATTGTACGTACTTCTTGCTAATTCCACCAGAGACCAGCCGTCGTAATTTCTTTCCTCATTTTCCATAGCCATCGAAATTGTCCACATTAAAAAAGTAAAGACTTCACTATTGCTCTTTAATATCTCACTTTCTGATTCGTTCACTAAATCAGCTAGGGTTGCTAAACACAGTAGTCGAATTGTATTATCTTTCGAATCCAAATACGGTTTCATTGCTTCAATGCAGTTTACATCTCGAACTTTTGGAACATTATCTTCAAACATGGCAATGTTGTGTAGTATAGTCATGAGCCATTCCAGAATATCTGATCCTTCGACAGACTTAAATGGTAAAAAGGTAAAAGGTAAATTTCGTTTAGGAATGATATCAAATGTTTACAAGTGTAGTAAAAAAATATTAGCTAAAATTGTTATACGAAGTGCACTTTTTTACTTGTTTACGATGAGCAAAATGACACAAATTTAGCTTATTTTTTACCTTTTAGATGTTATTAAGATATTCACACTTCAACGAGTTTTAAGATATGATTTCAGCTCGGCTTTAAAAACGCCATGCTTTTTGTAGAACTATGAAGCATGTTCAAGTCTTGATTGCATTAAAAAAGAATGATGAGGAATCTATCTTTGATTTTGGGAACAACATAGCTTAAATGGCTTGATCTTGTTGTATCTTATAGTATGATGTTCATTGACTCCACAAAAACAAAATCGAGAAAGTATTTTAACTTAGCAGATTTTAAAATATTATTCAATAATAGCACATAATAGAATACCTTCACATCAGTTCCACTAAAGTGAGGAGCTGTCCACTGTTGTAGCTTTCCAGTTGATATGTTAAGGAAGTGTGTTTGCTGAGAAATAATGCCACTCAGAACAGAGTTTTCATCAGAACAGTTCAACAAATACCACAACATGGTATGTACAGGTTCAATGTGTTCTGGTGATAATCCAGGATATACAGAGCTGCTTCCAGATTCCAATATTTCAGCGCAAATTTTACAATAAATTTCAACTATCTGATTCTCTTTTGCCTCCTGTGTTAATTTCTGCTGCATGTCTGACCTGTAAGTCGACGGTTCGTGATGAAGCAGAAAGGAGACGATTTCATTCAATAATAAAGCAGCATTCTGAAAGTCAGTATTAACGAAGACACCTTTGGTTCTGTTATGATTTGTTTTAATTACCAGCATATAATTTCTGCCAGAATTAATAAGATTGGAAGGATTTACTGATCCATGATTTGTTAATACGTCATATTCACTATTAGATTCATCACCATCTTCAGACAAATTACATGTTTCTGCTTGTCTTTGCATTGTGACAATCGTTTTAACCCCAGCACAGTTTGACGTAGATATAGATGATGAGACGTTGTCAAGCTTTTTCTGAAAGATAGAACATCAGTGGACATGTTTTAAACATATTTACTAAAGGGTAACAATGCTTAAGGCTTAAAATAAACATACCATAACTTACATTGAATATGTAATCACCAATTGTTAATTACGAAGTAGATAGATCCCTTAGATGTGCAGGTGTGAAAGTGCACAGACAGTCCTCAATTTTAGACGTTTTCAGAATGTAATAATGCTTTCTATTTTAAATTAAGTTTAATAAGAAGATGTGGTATGAGTGCCAATGAGACAACTATCCATCCCTCAGAGATCCATCCAAGTCACAATTTGTAAAAAGTAAACAATTATAGGTCAAAGTACGGCCCAAGTATATATTAAAATTTAAGCTTTATTGTCATCTTTCCCAAATAATTAATGTGGTGGTACTGTGATGCCATATTCTAAATGATTATAAATTCGTTTTGATTTTAAGAAACTACTCGTTCCATATACGATCATATACCTTACCCTATATTAATTGTCTTCCAATTCTGGCACTTTTACTTGTTTTTTTTTCTTTCTTAACGTCAAAAAAACAAAAACAGTAGTCCCATCTGGAGTACCAACGACCTTCAATTAATGGACCTAGCATTTATACAAGATATATAATACTGAATTTTATCATATGCACGAAACAACCTATTCATTCTCGATCCTTAACATAAATATTGGTATACACGACATTGGTCTCGTGCTCAAGGCAACGAAACCGCAGTATTCAGAGTGTCTGGACAGGTTTACTTTCGACATTCACTATATATAAACCACATAGTGATAATAAACTGTGTTTCATAACTACACAGGAACAAATCTGTTATCAAAAGGGCGCAATTAATTAGTGCTCATAGTAATATCTACAAACTGTCGATATATGTTATTGCCGAAACGTTAATTGATATTATCATCAGTTGTAGTAACGAAGCATGAGGAAGTGGTTTGGGTAGGTGCACGGGTTAACATACAAGTAATACACTGTCCTTACTAGGGACTTTATTTATGCCAGGCTCTCTGGACACACTAGGTGTACGGGTTAACATACAAGTAATGCACTGTCCTTACTAGAGACTTTATTTATGCCAGGCTCTCTGGACACATTAGGTGTACGGGTTAACATACACGCAATGCACTGTCCTTACTAGAGACTTTATTTATGCCAGGCTCTCTGGACACACTAGGTGTACAGGTTAACATACAAGTAATGCACTGTCCTTACTAGAGACTTTAATTATGCCAGGCTCTCTGGACACACTAGGTGTACGGGTTAACATACAAGTAATGCACTGTCCTTACTAAGGACTCTATTTATGCTAGGCTCTCTGGACACACAAGACCTTAATTGTAACAGTCATGGGTTAAAATTTACAAGAAATGCACTGTCTATACTAGGGACGTTATTTATGCCAGGCTCTCTGGACACACAAGAGACTTATATTGTAACCTATCTCTAAACGAATCTTTTTGGGGGAGTGAACGAATCGGACGAGCCCAGAAATCTTTATATTGTATCGAGTAACTAACATTCTTTTACAATAATGCTAAACACTTTTTGTGTTATACCTTTTGCTCCCCTGCAATAGATGTGCTGCATCCCATCGGAATGAAGTCAGCTGCTGGAAATTCTGTAAAAAGCAAAATAACAAAAAAACATTGTTAACAGGACATATTTATACAATTTATTGTACATATTGTGTAAAAATAAGTTAACCTGTTATCGATTGAGACCATTGTACTGTGATGAAACCTTTATCCAAACGGCAAATAAACAATCAAGCCGCTGCTAGGTTAAACTTGCAGTGAGGTGAGAGTTTTTTTGCTCCGTGTTTAACGCCTCACTGTGACTTTGAGATGAAGAACAGCAATACAAGCGCTGTTCCTTTGCTTTTTGTGTGTTTTTTGCTGTGCATGTACTGATTTTGTGTCATGGATGGAAACCCAATATCCTTTGTCTTTCTATTATAAGGAGATAACTACTAGTATATATGATGGTAGTATACTGATGTTAATCATAAGTCTATTGTAAACATACTGCCTTGGTGATATCGTGGTAGTGTGTTCTCCCCGAATATGAGAGGTCGTGTGCTTGATCCCCGACCGGGTCAAATGAAAGATTTTGAAAATCTGTTGATTGTTTCTTGCTTCATATCCAGTTGCAAATATTACATGCATATTCCGGAAACAAACAATTAACTATAAGAACAAAAGCTTAGCTGTAATTATGAGCGATGCCTAAACAACTAGTGCTGTGTCATTCATAAGAAACTGTATGTTTGCCGAAGATATAAAACGCTAGGAAATCATCAGTAAGTCTTTGTTTGTTATACGGTTAGTACACGAATTCTACTTGTTAGTAGAAATTTAATGACATTAATAAGTACACGTGCCGAAGTTCAGGTCGTTTGTAAAACTGAAAACAACTGTTGTACAAGAACCATAAATGAATTGAACTTCAACAAATCAGAGTGATCATGATTAGCACAATTAACTGTTGGATTTTGTCGCTGAGAACAAAGAGACGGGGAGGTACACTGGTTAACAGGAACGGCTTAGCAGATTTTATAACTATAGCAGTGCTGGAGATTAATCGCAATTCGTTTTAGATTGTTCATTTTACACTGAACTCAGAAGTAAACACTTTGGGGATATTAAATGAAATATCGAATTTTTTCATATGAAAGCAGACGAAAATCTGTATTATGTAATCATATAAACTTTCCTCTAAAATCTTCCAAATATTTGGTGGACTCCATAAGGAACCGACATCCACTGTTATATTGATTTATGCTTTGAAACTTTTAATTTTGTCATGTGACCGTGACGTCATCAACGGTTTTTTTTTCATGATTTACTCCTTAAAAATGGAATTTAAATTAAATTATAAGGAATGGCTGTAATTTATTTTTCTGTCTATTCGAAATAACCTTAAAAATGTGGTGCACACTTTTTCAGTGTTCACCACATTTTTGATGTTATTTCTTCATAGACAGAAAAAATATTACAGACATTCCTTAAATATCTTTCGTGTATCTAGTGTTGAACAATGTGTGTTGACACATTATTTTTTATTACACAGGTCTATGGCAAGCCGTTTTACTATTAATTCTAAATTCAAGATATCTTATATAATATATAAGATATGTTATATAATATATAAGATATCTTATATAATATATAAGATATCTCATAGGATATATAAGATATCTCATAGGATATATAATATATCTTATATACGACGGTTGCCACGTGTGGAGCAGGATCTGCTTACCCTTCCGGAGCACCTGAGATCACCCCCAGTTTTTAGTGGGGTTCGTGTTGCTTAGTCTTTAGTTTTCTATGTTGTGTCATCTGTACTATTATTTGTCTGTTTGTCTTTTTATTTTTGGCCATGGCGTTGTCAGTTTGTTTTCGATCTATGAGTTTGACTGTCCCTCTGGTATCTGTCGTCCCTCTTTTATATAATCTAGTGTTTATAAGAAATCTTATAAACTTTAGAAGATATCTTATATACTTTATAAAATATCTAATAAACTTTGTAAGATATCTTATATACTTTAGTATATTAATATACTATATAATAAAATATTAATTTTCGCGAACCATTTAGGTCACAGAAATTCCAAAAAATGGCATCAGTAAGGAGAGTTGTACAAATGATGTGAATACACAGAACCCGGATCCAAATTATCTTTTACTAAAAGTATTCATCATTTTCTGTTTTGTATGTACTAACAACATTTCATTTTTCTACAATTTCGATTAAAATATAATAAAACCTGCAGTTCAATAGGTCACATGCCCCAAATAAACATTCCCCGATTGGTCGAACTGTGGCCTCGGTGTAAAGCAACGCAAGCCTCGATGTAAAGATCACGCTTCCAAAAATAGAGGTATGTCCCAACTTAACATTCCCCGATTGGTTGAATTGCTGCTCGATGTAAAGCAACGGAAGCCTTGATGCAATGAAGAAAAGGGGTTGACAGGATAAACGTAATCGTTATAAATTTTAACTTCATGGTTCTTATGCAAGCAAATTTAATAAACAATGATTTTATACAGTTGTGTTATTGTTTTCACCTTACATAGGGCTTTATTTCTGATCTTATTTCTGTGTACACAATTCTGAATCTACATATTTCACCTATATCAATATTAGGTAATCCGTTTGGACGATTCCATATACTATTATGTTTTAGGGTTTTTTAGCTTCAGTGTCGAGTTGGTGTATAGTATTGAGGGCTATATATCTGCGAGAAATAAATCTTTTTTTCTGATAGATTAACTAAATTCAAAACCAATATAAAAATAGTTAACACATATATTTTATTTAACTGAGTAAATTGATCGGAATGTGAATGATACATAAACCTAAAATTCGTTTTGGTCTATCCCAGTGATGACATTTGCGCGGGAATTTAGTCCATTGACATCGTAATATAATTTACTTTGGATTATAATTATCTTTAGATGTAATGTTACAGGATTTAATGTGAAATCATTTGTCTCTTCTTTTATAGTACACGAGTTTGGAGTTTGACGTCAGGTTTGTACACATGAAGTCTCTAGTCTAAAAAAAGCCAGTGACAGAACGATAAACAGATATTGAGATAAGCAACTGTCTAGGGCCAAGTAAGGGAGGTGAAAAAGCCAGTATTACGCAGAACGATAAACAGTTACATAGACGGATCCAGGGGGTGGGGAAAATTTGGTTGATTTTATAGGGAAGCAGGGGCGGATCCAGCCATTTTATAAAAGGGGGGTTCCCAACTCAGGACAAAGGGTGGGTGGGGGGGGGGGGTGTGTTCCAACTATGTGTCCCCATTCAAATGCATTGATCGTCCAAAAAAAGGGGGGTTCCAACCCTCGGAACCCTCCCCCGGATCCGCCACTGGGGAAGCATGACGGGAGTGGGCAACCCTTAGGTCAGTCAGCGGCCACCCCCCTTTTATGAAAAGTTGTGGATCCGCCACTGAGATTTATATAAGCAGGTTTTCTTTGTGTAGATACCTTAAAATATCACCAACTGTGACTGAGTACACAATTTGATTCATTTTAGCTCATTAGCTGGGCTCACTCGCTAAAAAGGTTCATTGCGGGCATGCTCACTGGCTAACATTTTACGATATTCATGACTCATGTAGAAAAGCCGATAATCTATACATGTGTGTGAGGAGTAGTTATCAAGATTCCTTTCGTCTGTAAAAACTGTCTTAGGCCAAGTTAGGGAGGTGAAAAAGCCAGTAATAGAAAGATAAACAGATGATCAGGTTTTCTTCATATAGATCCCTTAAAATATCCCCCACTGAGGACACAATTTGATTCATTTTAGCTCATTAGCTGCGCTCACTCGCCATAATAGGTTCATTGCGGCTTACTGGCTAATATGTGTAGAAAAGCTGATAACCTATACATACATGTACATGTATATGGTCAGATCATATGTTTTCGTACGTCATATGAATTTGCACTATGCATGCCTTTTCAACGGAAATTGTGACGACAGTATGCATTCTTAATAGCACGAAAAATGATGAGAAGAGGATACGTATGTCAACCAAAATTTTTCAGCAACGTCAAAATATGTGAGGACACCCTATCAAGATCTATCAAGCTTGTGTTCATGTTGCGTTAAAACTGTTTTAGGAAGGTGAAAAATACCAACAACATAACAATAAATAGATAATCGATATTGTAAAATATCAATGTGTTGAAAAGCCAATGATCTACATATATACTTAAATATGTTCACCATAAAATAAAACTGATTTAATTTACACCACAACAGTTGAAAAAACCTTTATGTTTATATAACTTATCTCATTCTAGTCCATTCAACTGACAGGATAGGTGTACATTTCATGAACTCTTTTAATAACAAGAATCATCATGGACTATTCTTTATAGCAATATCTGTTAGCCATTTAGGGGTCTTTTGCATTCAAAGTTTAGTTTTAGTGGGTTTATTTTGCGAAAAAGAACTCAATTTCCAGATCAAAGTTAACATTTTCTATATATTTTGCTGTGTCAAAATGACCTAATAAATATGAAGGACAGTACCCATATAGACCCAAAAATGGTATATCACATTCTACACATGACATTTTAGCAAGAAAGACTGCCATTGGAGTATATAACTTTTAACCTGTGTATATATAATTAAAATACGATAATAAAATTCATGTCTTTTTCAGGACCTCTGATCCAACCATGTAGTATGGCATGTTTGTGAGATACGGTTTTGGTGGATAGGATGTTCAGGAAGGACCTGTAGTACAAAGTATATCACTGGATTGAGCTCTTTGTCTAAGTGTATTATTAAAGTGCTTTGCTTTGAGCTCAGTTCATTGTTATGCAATTCATTCTTTGTGAAATAAAGATTTGACAGACAACTCTCATGTACAAGGATTTGTCAGGGTAGTATCCATTCTATGTACAATGTAAGTAATAAGGAGATAAAAGCATTTTATTATGATTTGAACCAAACATTTTTTGTCCATTAACCAAATTTAAAAAAAAGAACAAATTTACCGGACAATGCTACACTCGCTACTAGCAATATGATGCTAGGTTGTTTTAATACATCTGTACTGCCTACTGATGACTCGGTCCTGAGTGTAAATGGTCATTCAGTATGTTAAAAAAAAAGGGCAAAATTTATAAGGCCTATCTGGCCTAATTGATTTCTAAAACTATATTTCATTGTACATGTTCAACATTTATCATTCATTTGTTTATTTCTTAATTTGTGTGAATTAACATTGTTACAGTAAATGTTAATTACTACACTTTCATACCACAACAAATACTGTATTGGTATCACTTATATTTGTATCCATATAACAAAAAAAATTGAAAAGAGAATAATTTTGCAATACCTTTTTCATATTGAATACTATAACTTTTTTGATATTTAGATATATTAAGTAGATTTTCATAATACCCACTTGACATGCTTGAAATTCTATCAGATTACTTTTGGAGCAGTTATGAGTCTTTGAAGCATGCTCACAAAGGTTTTTTTGTTGATATCATTTTCATATTGGTCAAAACTTTTTTTGCTTCGGCCAGCTTTGGAGGAGATGTTATCAAAGAATTGATAAAAAACAACACAGAAGTTTACTTTCTAGCTCTTCTAGCCCCAAGCATCATGTCAGGCATTGTCATTACTAAAAACCAATAAATGTCTTCTAATCTGAGAAACAATTTCGACATTTTAACAAAATATTTTACTAATGATACTTGCAATCCACCACAAAGTAATATAAATAGAACCATACAAATAGTGAGCAAATACATATAAAAAAGATGTGGTATGATTGCCAATGAGACAATTCTCCACAACAGACCAAAATGACACAGAAATTAACAACTACGGGTCACCGTACAGCCTTCAACAATGAGCAAAGCCCATAACACATAGTCATTTATGTTATTTATGTACACAGAATAAACAAAAAACAAATATTATGTAACACATAGACAAACGACAACCACTGAATTACAGCCGCCTGATATCATGTTCTCAGATATCATCTCCCATTTAAAAAAAAAATCACATGAAAAAATGAACCTATTATGTGTTGCTCTCCTAGCTACAAAATGTATCCAAAATCAAAGATGTGGAAAATATTCTATCATAATCATTTGGTAATTAATGCAATTAGTGTCTCTTCCATGTCCGTCTTGAACATAAAATCTAAATATTAAATAAACAACACTCCTCATGCTCAGGTTGGTTGTCATCGTTCAACACAGTTAATAACAACATATAGGAAAAACATAGAACTCCTTTTGTCATATCAAACATCCAAACATACTATCCACATTCATCTGTGTCCACACTTGTAAACTATATAAGATATCTTCTAAATTGTATAAGATATATTTTAAACTATATGAGATATCTTATAAAGTCTATTAGATATCTTGAAATAAGAATAAATAGTAAAACGGCTTGCCATATAGGTCACTATTATATAAATAACACATAGCTGAGAGGGTGATAGAGCAGATTGTTACCCCGAGAAAACATTGTCAACTGAGGCGAAGCCAAGGTTGACAATGTCTTTTCGAGGGGTAACAATCTACTCTATCACCCTCTCAGATATGTGTTATTTAATTTATTATACTGAATGTTCTGTTATTACTGTCGATTAAATTTCAAATTCAAAGTAATAAACTATGACGTCTTGTACATAACAACCATCCGTATTTAATAAAACGCACACTTGATCAAGTGTCTCCGTGAAGGATAATAGAGTATTTGCCATAGGATAGAGTCGTATTTAATAAAGCGCACACTTGATCAAGCGTCTCCGTGAAGGGTAATAGAGAAAATTAACACCCTCGTATTAGCCAATCAAAATATAGCATTTTGACATGAAGTATAATAAAATATATGATTCACTTACTAACTATATTCAAAGATTTGTATAGTTTTACTGTTAACCTGCTTGATTTGTTGCAGTTAACTGTTGATGATTGTGAGTTTGCCTTATTAGCGATCGTTTTATATGTTACAATGTTACAAAGATAATAGTAGAGCACCAACCTTAAAAATACGGGTATTATTATTAATACTAAACGAGTAAATCTTATTTTGTGTGCAGCTTTTCTGAATTTCAATATAGAGAACTTTATATTATAAGTAGCATGCACAGTGTGGTTTTTTCCGTTTTGTCCCATTTCAGACAGACGAACGGACAAATGCAATTACAACTACATGAAAATTAAACGTCATCCCTACTGGGAACACCTTTTATGTCCTAGAAAGATTAGCAATTCATGCTACACACCTTCACTAAAGAGCTAAAACTATTGATGTAAATCCTTAAGTGAGGAAATACAGATTGAGATTTCGACAAACTGAACACAATGCTATGCAATGAAAGAAATTGTCCACCCACATCTGTAGTCATTATTAGTATATGGAACACGCAACTACCTCATGACTTACATTATAAAGATGCATTGCATAATACTTCGGGTACTTTGTATAGGCTTAGTTAAGTATTTCATTTATAAAAATGGTCCGTTTTAATATAATACTGAAACGCAAAACAAATTTTTATATGAGTATGATGTTAAAACAGATCACTTATCGCTGCTAACATGTATTTACTGTAAATAGATGTAAACAACTTACCCTTTTAGATCACGACGTTTCTTAGAAGGCATCACAATAAAAAAAGTAAAATGTTTTTCAATGAATAAATAACATCCTATATATCTACCTGAAAATATAGGAGCAAATATACATGAAGATGAGTTGTTTATATTTTGCAGAATTTAAAGTAAATTGCGAGTATATACCGATATTCTATAAATAGATTGAATTTCGTTGATAATGGTTACGCGTAAACAAACATTTCTTTTAAATCATAAGCAGTAAATTAAAATACAAATATATCGATAATATCATAAAGGTATAGATCTAATTATGTATAGTACAAATAGATAATTAGCTTACCCAGCAAAAAAAAACCTGTCACGAATTTTTTTTAAATCATTTATTATCCGCAATAAAATTTCACTTTTATTAATTTGCAATTTACAGGGATTGAGTTAGATTTTTTTTTCTGTATACATCTTTCAATTGTAGATACTTTTGATTTTTCGAACGCCGTGCTGATGATTCAACTATTTACACTAAAGAACGAATTCGGTGACCCTCCATTAACTTGATAGCCGTTAGTAGCAATAACATATGAACATTTACGTTTCATTTTAATGAGAATGCGTAGGACAGGATTTCGTGAAATAATTATATAATTACTTATAATAAAGTAAAAATTGCTGAATTTTTTTGCGATTTTAACGCGTATTCTATGCATTCAAACTTCTATTTTCAAGATACTTAATTTGCTATATCTCAGAAAGTGTAAAAGAAACATTTATTTATCATTCATATACAGTTCCCTATGCTCTAGTTGCATGCAAACTTTTCATTAAAAAATACATACAATCGCCCATTTACGTACAGGTCTGTTACCTAAAATTGGTTATATTTTGTATAAACCAATGACTAGATGCTGTTTTAATAATTACTGTCGTTACTCAAGGACATTACATAAGACGACAGGTTAACAACAACCTGTTTCAACCGTTATCAGTCGATATTGCACTTTCTGTGGTTCGACGGTCAGTATATAAGGTAACTGCACGAGATTTAAGTCATCGAGGATTGGGTAGTGACTACACCAGCTAGAAGTTTAATTTTTCTTTTACAAAAATATTTATGTATTTTTGTTTTCATATTGTTTAAGTATCATAAACATTTTTTTTTATTTTGTAGATTGTTTTGTTACAGAATACGTGCAGGATTCTGCCAAGCAGTTTCTTTTGTGTTAATAGGAACTTTATATTTTAGTTTAGACTTTGAGGCAGAGGAGATATTTTGTAATTGAAAATAAAAGTTTGAGATGGTCACTGTGCCATTCAGTACCCTCGAGCTGGTCACAGTGCCGTTCATTACCCTCGAGCTGGTGTTGCGCCATTCAGTACTCAAACATTGTGTTTGTGTTGCTTTGTATTAAGTACGAAAAGTGAACATAATTGCATGTGCTCAATCATGTTAACATGGCTTCAGGAACATTTTAGCACATAAATAAGTTATGAATGATAAAACAAAGTGAATTAAAGCATAATTATGTTTTCCGTGCTTTTTAAATGTTGAATACTAACTGTATGAATCCATTTTGATGAATATTCTACGTTTCTGTCCAATATACCAACTGTATGAACCCATTTCGTTGGATATTCTACGTTTCTGTCCCATGTATTAACTGTATTATTAATCCATTTTGATGGACGTTCTACTTTTTTGTCTCGTATACTATAACTGTATGAATTCATTGAGGTGGATATTCAACGTTTTTGTCTCGTATACGAACTGTATGAATCCATTTTGATGGATATTCTACGTTTCTGTCACATATATATTAATTGTATGATTAATCCATTTTGATGGACGATCTACGTTTTTGTCTAGTACTCTATAACTGTATGAATCCATTGAGATGGATATTCTACGTTTTTGTCTCGTATACTATAACCGTATGAGTCCATTGAGATGGATGTTTTAATGTTTTGTCTCGTATATTTTAACTGTATAAATCCATTTTGATGGATATTCTACGTTTTTGTCTCGTAAAAATGTAGATGTATGAATCTATTTTGATGGATATTCTGCGTTTTCGCGATGGAAGGGCATGACGAATTTTTGCGAATTTACTAATGATTTTCATCTGTTGCTATGAGTCAATTACCAATACGCTATTGTGTGATGCCTAAACGGATTGATATAACTTATCAACGTATTTCATTGGAGTAACACGACGGGTGTCGCATATGGAGCAGGATCTGCTACCGTTCCGGAGCACCTGAGATCACCCCAGGTTTTTGGTGGGGTTCGTGTTGCTCAGTCTTTAGTTTTCAATGTTGTGTTTTGTATTCTATTGTTTGTGTTTTGGTCGTTTTCGTTTTTTGCCATGTCATTGTCAGTTCGTTTTCGACTTATGAGTTTGGTTATCCCTTTTGTATCTTTCGTCTCTCTTTTGCTACTAATGTTTATTTTTTCCGTGGCTTCGACGCAGGAAAATTTATATTAACTTTTGTACACAACTGTTCCCTGCATTTTGCGTGGCATACTATTCATTATTATTCTGTCTTCTGTACGTTTAATCATTTGCAGCTCTTACAATATAAAAAATAAGGAGATGTGGTAGGATTGCCAATGAGACAAATGTCGTTTAACTTTTATTAAGTTGAATATTAAAGGTTTAGTAATTTTACCTTTTTAAATGTTTATGGTTAATCTTGGACCATTTCACTATATTTGTAATTTATTTGGAGTTAAATATCTGCACCACCTTGTCTGTCAAATTTGGTCAATGTTCTTTCAAGGTTGCTCCGATAAATAGGAATAAAATTGAATGAACAGATTTTTTTCTACACAAACATGTTTTAGTCATAGTTCGAGGTTATTTTTAGCACTATGCTTGTTATCTTTATTCACAATCAGAGAGGATCTAAGGGAGCAACCATTTGATTCTCTGTGGTATTTTTCGAGAAAAAAGATTAGCTTTTGAAATTGAAAAAATAAATAAATCGTTTGCACCTAGAATAAAAAAGAAAAAAAAATGACGAAAAAAATATTTTTTTTGTGAATAGCAAAATGTGTAAAAAAAGGTTATTACCTGACAGTGCTCTGATGTGCTGAAGAAATAAAAGACGGAACTCATCACTAGCCTAGATGTACAGAATGGAAGATTCCATTTAGCACATGCACATTTCGACAATTCGTGTCTCATCAGTATTATAATGCTTGATACGAAATGGTTGGATATCCAAAGAAGTCAAAAGTTTTAGAGCAGATAACAAACCAAATATCAAAAACAGTAAAACCACAGCAGTCTAAATGGAGACTGACTGTTAAAATCCCGAGGGAAAAGGCTGGGGAGGGGGTATTAACTTCCTAAACACTGCTATACGAGGATGTGCGAAACGTTTAGGTATACTTTTCTGGGAAAATGAAGAAAGATCAAAAGGAAGGTCTCATTTGTAACCTGAATTGGGGGTTGGGGGGTGGGAGGAAAATAAGGGGGCCTTAAACACTTTCGGGAATGGAACGGGAGGTTGTTCAATTTTTCAATACTTTAGTCTTTTTTCGCAATATATGCTGGCATCGATTTTGTTTTTACAAGATTTGAGCAATTCTGTATTTCAAACATGCAAAAAATATAGCTTATTTGATGAATACACTAAATCAGTATAGTATTATTCAGAAGTGTCTTAACACTTCACTTGATTCAGGTGTCAAATCCATATCTCTTGTGTCATCATTTTTGGCTTCAAACTTTATTTCGATGTTTGTTTCATGTGAGTCATGACCGTATTGTGTTTGTTTGTTGGACACGAAGAACAACAATATCAGGAACTGATGGTTTGATGTCTTAGTTTTAGCAGCTTTTCTGAATTCTTTTCCATATAATAAAAACATTGATAATACTAATAGCTGTCTCCTAACATGATTAATCGTAGAACTCATGATTGAGCATATATTTCAATGGTGTAAGATAATATCTGGGAATCAAGCGTCGCATTTTTAACATGTCTTTAGTAATACGTGAATAATTTTCCTTTATGACCTGGAGATGAGAACTCAGGCAACCCACACCCACCTATCCCCCTGCAATAAAAATATAGTTTTTGGCACGAAAGACGTCAATTATTTTACGCCTCGCTCCGCTCAGCTCAATTCTTAAGATTCTAATCCTAAGTTTGAACGTGTTCGCGCAGGAAAAGTAGATTGATCTGAAGTTAATTTACTACAGCTTCTTCAATAAAGGATATGAACAATGTGCTGAAATTGAATGAAGGTGTGGTAATTCTCAGTGAGACAATCATATTAACTGTATATATCGAAAATAACAGATAAGGGGCAATGGCATGAAGACATCACCAAATCATCCATTTCAATTTTGGTGGATAGTTGTTTCATTGGCAATCATACTTTTGATAGAGTACATAACTTTAAGAGCTTTTTCCGAAGATAATGAGTTTTACTATTAAAAGCTGTATAATTATTTTCCCCTGAATTTATTTCACTAAGCCACTGTATTGAATCCGAGATTTATTCAATCTATTTAAAATATAGATCTCTGATTTCGTAATGCTCATAAGAGCTTCGACGAGTAAGCGAGTTACGTCCGATCTTAATTTTAACCATATTTTGAGTTATTGAAACATAGTGAAATTTTGCTTGCAGAATTTAGCAATAATTTCCCTATATGTTCATGTATAGGTTAAACACAACCGCATTTTCGCACCCGTTCCAAGTCAGGAACCTCTAGTATTTGTTAGGCTTGTGGTGAAAAAAAAAGGTTCATTTGTATGTTTCGGAGTCTAGTGTGGCGTCCAATCCGCTGAACTAGTATACATTATTGTTTAGGGGCCAGCTGAAGGCCGCCTCCGGGTATTGGTTTGTCTTGCTTCGTTGAAAAACCGTTGGTGGCCTTGGGTTGTGTTCTGCTCTTTGATCGGGTGTTGTCTCTTTGACACATTCCCCGTTTCCATTTTCTGTTCTATAACATTAAAATTTCAATGATTGTTAAACATTCCTATTGAAGACTGTTTTTAGAAAAAGAATGGAAAATTGTACATGTATTAGTCAAATTTGCATTGACGGATTAATTGATTGATTTTTGCGAGGGTGCCTTTTGGCAAATATTTCATTTATATTTAGGACAAACATTAAAGACGTCATCAATATAACTTAATTCGTGTCTAAAAAAAGCATACCTAGTTTGAGTTGG